AGATGAAAGAAAGAACAACAAAGAAGTTGAAATGCAGCACTACCACACATTTAAGCCGTGCGATGAAGAGCACAAGCAGTTTGATAGATACTGCGGGAAACAGACACACAGACATACTCTCTTCTTGATGCTTGTGCTTCTTCTCGGATTTGCACTGAAGAAGCAAATTCATTTTCAAGGGGGCTAGTAAGATAAATCTGCCCCCACATCCCTGCTTGCAGTCCTGACCCTACAAATACTACTGAACTTGAGGCTTTGTAAGAGCAGTGTCCCACAACTTTGACCCTGAGTTAGCTCCATGCAGCAAGAGCATATGTGCTTGCTCCTTGCTGATAGCTTTGCCCTGCAGAGAAGCCTTCACGCTAGGCACCTGTGTACCTGTTTTCACTTAAGAAAAACAGATACCTGCATCTAGCAGGGTGTGTATCATGGCTGTAATGAGTGATGGTTTCATTCATCAGACCCGTCTTGGATTAAAAATTTGAACGAACAAAAGCATAGCATAGCATCCTGACAGTGCTCGAGGTTGAGCCTTGGTCCTGATGTGCGGAACAGCCTGTGCCTGGCCTCAAGAGAAGTTTCTGAACAGGGACTGTAGCTCCCCGCAGCATGCCGGCAGCACTTCTGTGGTGCTCGCCTTACCTTCAACTGAGAGGAAACAGCCATCACTCAAAACTGTGCTATGGGAGAGGAAACCCTGCTTCATCAGCTGGTGCCTTGCAGTAAACACAATGGCAGTCACAACAAATCACCGGGTAAGATGTGGGTAGAAACGAGTCAAAGCACACATTCATTAAGAGTACAATGCTACCAGTCATTATGCTCCGTAAAGTCATTTAACTACAGTTGTTAGCGAGCAGACAGTTTCACTGGGCAAGTTGTATTGCCCTGTCAGTAAACACCAGAAACACACAGCCTGTCTTGTGCTGGGTGAAGCAAACAGTTCATAACCATGGCTTATTAGTACTGTGATCAGTCTCAGTCCCCTTCATTTTGACTTGTTGTTTCTTCTCCCCCTTCTTTCAGGTAATCATGCTCTCCTCTGCACTCCTGACACCACATAGTGCTATTGAGTTGTTGTTTGCCACTGACCATCTGCAGCCTGACACCGATATCTGACGAGAGAGAATCCGTGGAGAAGATGAGCGAGTGCTTCGGCTGGAAACATCAAAGCCCTGGTCTGTTACTCTTCCCAATAGCCTTCCAAAAAATGACATGTCCCCTGCTGCAGTTATGGCTCCAGCTGAAACGGGGTGAGGCAGCTGGGTGTCTGGCTGCAGGGGAACGTGAGCAGCTCACAGGCAGCTCTCCAGTTGTCCAGCAACTCCCCTTCCTTAACGGTAACACCCTGCGGTGCTGAATCACCCCAGCCCCGCTCTGCAGGGCAAGGATATCGCCTGTAATAATTCCCTAGAAAAGGAGCAGCTGAGGACCAGGTTATGCTGAATTTGCACTCCCCAAGCAGCACTTTTTCCTCTCAGTATTCCTGATGTTTTCGCTGAGGTTGCTTCTGGTGGGAAATGCTGCTGAGGGAGTGAAAAGCTAGCAAAATGCACCCTCCCTGTCATGTTATCTTGGAAAACACATGTGCCTTATACAGCATTAACCGCCTCTGCTCTTCGTCCCTCGTCCCAGAGAGGTGACGGAGCACAGCCCTGATTCAGCCGGCAGAGCCGCTCCCAGTCTGGTGATGCTCTCCCAGAGGGACTAGTAGAGGCAGAGAAGCAGAGAGCCAGACTCAAGGGCCGGGTTACGTGGTTGCTTCTCTCTCAGCTTCCCGTTTCCTGCTCTAGTTTCTCCACCCACAGTCCCGGGAGAAAAGGCTGTTTCTGATGGCACACTTCTCTGTAGGTTTATGCAGGAGGCCATATGGGCTGTGATGGTTTGATGATAACCCTGGAAGAATCCTCCCCTCACATGCATTTAAAAAAGAAAAAGAGAGAAAAAAAGAAGCACGATCCCATTTTCAAGAGGCCGCAGCAACAGATTCTTTCTTGAGCTAGATTTCTGAACAGCATGATTAGAGAACAGCTTTTATTTTTAATTTATGATCATGAAAGAGCTGCTATCAAATTCAGTTATATAATTTTTCCTTATAAAACTTTGATACAATCTGTGATAAACAAGCAGCAGCCAGTAGAGATTGTGTTTGCGTATAGCACTGAGACTTCCGAATTGCAACATATAATGGTGGAGCTCTTGCTTCATCCAAGGGAGGCTAAGCCTACAGCTTACACTGAGATGAGAATGTGAAATTATAAGTGACATTCACTCTATCATAGTATTCTTTATTATGCCAAAGGAATAGATTAAATGGGAAGTAGCTTTTTAACCTTTGTTCATTAGCTAGCGTAAGTTCTCTTAAATGTTTATAATGGTCTTCAGAAAAGGGTGCGTTTTGATTTAAATTCACTTTTGAGTGGCTGGGAAGAAACAATGGACCGATTATAAAGCATGGACAATGTTGCCTCTATGGAAGAGAGATTTATAAGAATGACTATAGAATGGAACTTTGTGCTATAAAAAATGAGAAATACTATGAGATTGCAATGTTAAAAGCTCAAGAAATAGTTTGAACAGAGCAACTGGAAATCAAATAGCCAGTCTCTTGGTTTCTTTTCTGTCCTTCTGTACTGTTTAATGTTAGAATATGGATGTTTTGTAAATTCTGTAATCAATAAAGCAATGCTCTTACAATGCCGAACCTCATCCCTCTTCTCCTTCTCTATTAGCACACAGGGCTACACATGCCAAGACTGCGTATTCCTGAGACCCCTTTTTCTTTCGCATTATTTGTTGCCCCTAAGAACCTAAACCTTCTGTCTTGGGAGGTGTCCTAGAGGGATTTCTACACTCTGCTGGTAGCAGAAAGGCTGTCCTGCATCCAGTGGCCATTGCTGGCCAGTGAGTTCAGGTACTCACACCTCTGAGATGCTGCTGCTTTCCTGAGATGATGGAGGCCGGCAGTTGTGGTCTTCTCTCCCTCACCTGTGTTTCATCAGATGTTCTCACATCTCTGACTTGGCCATCTGAGGACATATTACATAGGATAATGAGGAGGGGGTGAGTTTAAGCAGACACTGGTGCTCTTGCACTTCCTATGGGTCAAGCAGCTCCTCTTACTGAGGCAGAGACTAGTTTTCCAAGTCATCATCCTCCCCCTGACACACACACGCTTCAGAGGAATCATTCAGCCAGTGGGGCCACAGCTGTGGCAATGGATGCTGGGACTCAGCCACCATCTCATGCTCAGTAGCTGAAGAGATGAAAGGAGATGGTCACAAGAGCCTGCTCCTCTTCTAGACCAAGGCTGGAGTGGACCCTAGTGTAATAGCTCCTTATTTGTAGGAAGTAGCTTTAGTAGCTACACATAGCCTGTGCTCAGGGAAGAGGCCAGGGGGATGAGAGGTCTCCTGCGAGCAGCAACAGCAAAGATTTTGCTCGGGCAGGTGCAGGACCACAGCAAGGAGTGTCTAAGCCCTCTGCATGTGACACTAAGCAACACTCAAAAGGTATGAGGAAGAGGAAACTAAGGCCACCCTTGGCAAATGGGTTTACTACTATATTTATAAGCTAAGCAGTATTTGGTAATAAGCGCAGACTGGATGGCCAAGCTCAATTTTGTTCCTAAGTCTAGTCCTAAGTCACTTGGCTAGTAGCTCATGGTCAAAAAAATTATCATCAGCAGTCACCCTAGTACCAGCATAAACATCCTCCTCAGGAAGGCTCTTAGTAAAGCTACTTTAAGCATGAATGGAATGATTGAAGACTTGTAGTAATTTGATTAAGTTCGTCATTGTCATATAGCTCAATGTATAAAGCTGCTCTCTTTTTTTTTTTTTTAAAGAAGAAACTGGAAGTCACTTAAAAGACTCAGCATTCTTCCAGATTGTGACCTACCTTACATCATTCTTTCTGGAGTTTTGACAAGGGAAGATAAAGAAACTCATTTTAATTTGAAAGGTCTCTGCCTTATTCAGTTCCTCTTTTAAAAGAAGGAAGTTGTAAAGCAGTTGTGAGAGCTCCCCACCTGTGGTTTATGCTAATAAAGCAACAGTATAGTCAGGAAAGGCCTTGTGACTGTTTCTGCAGTGAATGTTAACTACCTTGAGAAAACTATTACTTTGTTTCAACATTTCACTGGTTATCGCCCATTGTTTCTCACCCAGGAAGAACACACAAGCAAACATGCAACTCAAAAATTTAATGTTGAACCAGGCAGTAAGAATGAGAAGTCCACTCCCTAGAAGGAGCAGCTGTACACAAAATAAATAAGTTACAGTTTAAACAAAAGCACAACTGGCTTTTTAAAGTGCATGTGTATAAGGCCTTTAGCCCATGAACTCAATTGGCTCAATGTAAAAAAAAAAAATCCTGTATATATAAAAAGTCTGCCACGTGCATCTAAGGATGAACAGGGACTGGCTCAGCTCAGAACAAACCACCAGCTTCATTGCCTGGAGCCAGCCATGCTTCACACCGAGCAGAGTTACAGCCACATTCCTTCTGTGCCTATTGCACACAGAAGTGTCTTACACTGGCAGCTGTAACAGACTATCATGCCAACTCCACACTCATTCCTCAAAAGCTCCATGTTGGATCATTTAGTCTGAACAATATTTTTTCAGACAGTAAAAACCCCACAAGTTAGTTGTAATTAGATATGTTTCCACCCTGTGGACAATAGTTTCACATACAAGGAGTCTGGTCAAGTTGTCAGCAATAACATAGCTAGTAAAAAAATAAAGGACCATTGTTTACAGTCTTGATACCCAGTCATGTCCACTTATTTTACACTTATTTTTACAGAACAATTTCATGTTTGCTTATTTGTTTTGAAATACATGGGAAATAAACAGTTCTACTGTGCAATAAAATTAAACAGATATACATCATGCTGTCCTTCATCCAAGTGAAAACAAGACTCAGGTGGTTACTTCTGAACAGTGAACTGCAGTTCAGGGTGTTTCCCTGCTCAGGTACAAGAAGTTGAGAGTTACAGCTAAAAGCATTAAGTCAAATCTGTCCCATTGGACAAAAGGCAAACTGAAGGCTGTTTCAGTTACTGGAAAGTTCCTTTTCCAAATGAAAATACTTGTTCTACAAGTCACATCCTAGAACTGTTTCAAGAGTTTTGGGGTTTTTTCCGTTTCCAATCTGCCACTGTTCCTTTTTTAAGCAACTGCTTGTTTCTACAGCCATGCAAAAGGCTACCTGAACCATCCTTCTTTCACAATGCCTTGGACTCTAGATGTGCCAGTGTTAAACACCCCAGGTTTCAATCTCAGGCTAAACATTGGGAAGAGCTGCTGTCAAACAGAAGTGACAGTCCTCACTTTGGCAGACAAAGCTTGCTTAAACCTTCTCTTCAGATCCTGCATGTTGGGCGATTTTGGCCGTGGAATAAGAGAGGTTCTCCTTCTCTCAGGGGTGCTGGTTGTTTGCTGTTTACTGACTTCTTTACAGAGGAGATGGAAGGCATTGAAGACATCATTATAGTTTTCACTGACAGATACTTCGTAGAAAGTACAGCCCAGCATGTTGGCCAGCTGAAGTCCATGCTGAGGCTCCACCTCTTTGATATGCAAGAGATCAGCTTTGTTTGCTACGATGACAACAGGGACCGCGTTTCCTGGATGCAACTGTCGAACGTGATGGTAAAGGTGACTGAGTAGTTCATAGCTCTTATAGTCTGTGATGGAGAAGACAATCACCAGGGCATCTGCCCAACGAATGCATCTGTTCAGCTGCTCATTACAATCCAGATTGTGTTCATGGATCTGAAAAAATGGATGGTCTCAAATTAGATAGCTGAAGTCATAAAAGATTAAAGGAACCTGTCTTTAAGAGTCTGTAAAGCCAAATAGCATTTTACAGCTTCAGACATACATATTTGCATTTCACATCGTAAGTACAAACTTAATCTGAGCATGGTGAATAAATGCATGTTGATTCAGCTGCAAAAAGCTGGAATTTAACACTGGAGTTTGCTATACTCAAATGGAAAATTGACCTGAGTAGTTCTGCATGCAGAGAGAGACTTTGTAGTTCCACAGAATGGGAAATTAACTGGCTAGACAGTGAGTCTGGGGAAGCAAAGATATGAGCTGGAAGCATTTAGACCTGGAGTGTTGCCCAGTTCAAAAAGGCAACAATCCAGCATTACTCAGGTCTATACATTCAGAACTTTAACTTGTGACACACTAATGAGCACAGCCACAATACAGCAGACTTTGCTTTCTATCATACACATTTATGAAGCTTGTTGGGCAGTGGTCATGACATTTTCTTCTACATGTACCTTATTTGCACAGAATTGTTTCTGGGTTTGTGTCTAATGTTCCCAATACACAGGAACAAGACACTTAAGAAATTCAGCCACTTGAAAGGAATGGGCTTCCAATATACAAATGATTCATCAAAACAGTGATTTGTTTTCTTTTACTACCAGCATACTACAGGCACGCAACACATCTGGGTTCACTGGTTATAACAGAAGTGACCACCTCTCTCACACAGAACACCAAACTATGAAATGGACCATAACAAGATGCTGTACACAGAGGGGGACACACACACACAAATTTAGAGCTGCTTTGGTGAACTGCATGGCTGCATCTAGCTCACCTGAACTCCTGGAGTATCTTGCACTTGAATAGCCAACATCTCTCCATCTATCTGGATGTGCCTGCTGTAGAGATTACCTGACAAGAACACCAACAGGTTCACGAGTACAGCCACCACTCTACACACAGACTGCTGCCCATTAGTTGTGAAAGAAAAGTTGTATCGCTGTTTATGAAGCGAGGGACCAGTGTTTTAAGGTTTTTGTGTGTAACAACCCATAAATTTACAGCCTTACTAGAAGCCTGGGATTTAATCTTGCATTGACTTGTTTCAAAGCTTGGTGTGTAATACTGTGCAACTTGGAACTTACTCACTTCTTAAAGACTGTCTTAACTTAGATGATAAAGGTAAGTGTGCAAAATAACCAGCTATTATAGAAAGGCAGTTTGCTTGTCATTCAGTATTTCTGCACTTCAGCAAGCCATTTTTCTAAAAAGCTCTCCACTAGCTGATCTATTTGTTGGGTTTTTTTCATTTGTTTGGCTTTTTCAAGTCATTTCCTCAACAGAATGCTGTATATTTTACATCCACATTAGTTTAGACTTCCCACTGTACTACACCCTAGCAAGTATGTAACACCACCTCTTCGCTTTCCCCATTAAGCTGGCACTGTCTAGATCATTTAGCTGCTGGCATTCCGTTTGGGGAAGACAATATAACATTAGGTTTACAGAATGTTTTCTTGGTTTAGCTAAAAGACTTCTCCAAAGAGGGACATTCGCACCATATAAACTAAGTTCTGTGAGAGAACAGAGACGCCGCGGAACAGCGCTAGTGAAGCTGTGGCCATGAGCTGCCCGTTCGCCGCGCCTGGCGCGCACCCTTCCCGGGACTGCCGGGCAGAGGGCTGCCAGAGCTGCACCGGGAACAAGTTTTAAGTGAGCTGCCAGCCTTTAACATCCTGGTGCCTTTGATGGGGTGAAAATACCCGTTAGATGCAGCTATAACGCCGGGTTTAAGTTCCTTCTTTTACACTTGGGACCTGGCTCAGTGCTGGGTTTTGCATACTTACTTCCAGGCCCGGCACGCCCCCGCTCCCCAGCCCGGGCACCCCCCGGCGGCTCCAGGGGAGAAGG